AAGCAGAATGACGTTTCAAAGTCATCGTTCGGCAGAACCGGAACCTGCATAAGGCTACAGAGTTGCCGTTCATCCAGAACTTCCCGTTTCGAGCTAATTTCAATCAGCTTAGCTCTGCCTACCTTGATGGTCGGAAGGGCCGAAACGATGCGCAAGTTGTTGGTGATCTTTCCATCCTTGAGCGGCACGTTGAAGTCGACGCGGATGAGCACCCGCTTGCCCTTGAGGTCAACCTTGTCGATGGAGAGCTTGTTTAGGGACATCGCGTAGTCGTTGCTGCAAAACAGACGCTTGTTTTGGTAAACGGAGAAAGCGGCGAATTTGGGGTGAAATGTGGAGTGACGCTGGCCCGCAGCAGGCATGATGCAAGGAACATTCGCTCCGGCAACTGGCTGGGAGTTGACAACTATCCAAAGGAATCGAGAGAGTTCGACGAGCGGAGAGAGTCGTGTAAACATGCCACGATGGGGACGGAGCGCCAAGGCAAAAAAACAACCCTGTGAAATGCACGTTTTCTTCATCAGGAAACAGAGTTTGGGAAGCAGTGTTAAATGGGTGAAATACTACGGCTAAGCATACGCCCATTTTGAATTTTCTTGGCTCATAAATGCTAGTGTACGCAGCAGCGGCAAGGTGAAGTATGGCAAGAGAAGAAGGATAAGAACAGGGAAGAGTGTAGAGCTTGCCATTTGGCAAAGCACAACAGTCATAGTATGTCTGACAGATCCTGAAGCCCTATTGTTGCGAACAGGAACCATACGGAGACGCGAATGCAAGCTGGCAATGCGGCCAGTGGCCCAGGCAAGAGACTAGAAGATAACAGGCGACAGTAACGAACGTGGCAAAAAGCTCTGCACTTACACTACAACAGAGCTGTTACCAAGATGCAACTGTTAGGGAATTTTACTGGAGCACTAGAGGTCTTTATTTACTGGAACCTCAATAGAGCATCGACGGAGGCAGTCAGTGAGTCACGCGAGTTCCATTTCGATCGCTACTTCTTCTTGTCCTTGGCCTTCGCGTCTTGGCCGTCCTTGGTGTTCTCCTCGTCACCGCCCAGGCAGACGTACTGGCCCGTCGGATCGCCTTCGATTGCTTCATTACTGGCCCGTGCGTAGAAGAGCTTCACCTGGTAACGCAGGTATCTACCCGGGTACTAAATAGAGTGGCATAAATGCGCCATTGTCAACTAACACAAACCTTAGCGAAGGCGGTATTGAAGGGCCAGTCGACGCCTTTCTCTTTGTGGAGAATGCTGATGTCAGATAGGCTGGTCACGATGTCCACGGAGACATTGTCCGTTCCCGCAAGGGGGTACTTGAACTTGCTCGTTTTCTAAGCGTAACACTGATGCGGTGAGAACCGCTGTGCGCCAAACGTACCTTTACGTAGATTGCCTGCACGTGGTTCCCGCCGGGTGGCACCAGGAAGTACTTGGGACCGCTGCTGCGCTCTGCGCTGGACGGCACCGGGTCCAGGACGCGGTTCACGAGCTTCGAAACGGTGCCTTTCGGGTCGCGGACTTGTGTCGGTGGCATGTTCCGCATGCGGTACATTGCTCTTGGCACGAGGACCGTGCGCTCCTCGCAGTCGATGGATGTGCGCACATACAGGTAGTGTTGGGTTTTGTTGAAAAAACGAAGCGGAAACACTTCTCCTCGGTCGTAGGGCGGTACGAAAACCTAGGGCTTTGATTAGCATGCATTTCCAAAAGAATGCCTACCACTGTGGTTGCGCTCAGCGGGACGTCGCTCTTCTGAAGTCCATAGAAGAGCCAGTAGCCCTTTGGATTCGCGCCAGTGCCGGCTGGTTGCGGAGACGCCATCGTACTCTGGACGCTCTGCAGCTGAGTCTTCGGGTCGTAGTAGCTCGACGAGGTCACGGCACCCCTAATCGTGGGCGTGGCCTTCTCCTCCGGCTCAATCGTGCTCGTGGGCTTCTCGTCTTCGGTGATCGTGGTCTTTTCCACTGTCGAAATCGTGGTCTTCTCCTCGGTGGTCTTCTCCTCGGCGGTCACGACGTCCTCGCACACGGATGTGGTGGTGGTGGTGGTAGGCCGCTTCAGGAAGGACTCGGAAGGCTTCAGGAAGGCCGACCAGATGCGGAGCACCGGTTCGCCATCGTCGTCATGCAGCACAACGTACTAAACAGGTTGAGCAGTGCGTTAGGCAAAGAAGCAAGGGAAGAAAGCCCACCTTCTCACCGTTGTCAATCGGAGCGCGGTCCTTCGAGCGCTTAGCAGGCATCACACGATTCCAAAGAAAGTGGCCGTTAGGCAGGAATGATAATGGTGAAAGATGCTGTTTGGTCTTATTTGCCGTCATTTATGCACCTCAGAGCATATGCAAATTTTCTGGACGCTACAGCCTAGTGCCCAGCCTGTGCCTGGGCCAGACGTCAAGCAGACCTGGAATCTCCAATACCGGAGATGCTTGCGCTAAACTATGAGGGAATGCCAGTTGTCTATGTGCGACAAAAGCAAAGAATAGACAGGAACCCTGATCATTTGGACGATTGCCGAATAGAATGTGATCATGGCATGCACGGCTCACATGCCTACGGCAAGGAGCGCCTACCGAAAACGTTGCTTTGCCGATCTCAAAATTGCCGAACCGAACCTTTCTTTTGCCGCGTTCCAGTCTGGACCGTGACTTACGGGTTAGACGTATTCCTCTTTTTTACTGCTCTCACACTCACACGTCGGCTGCTGACTGAAGCAACCGAAGTCTGTTGCTTACTAATCGTGGACTCAATGCTTTTACGTCACTTGTATGGATGTCACTTTCATTGCGCTGCAGAGGTAACTATGTACCAGTGCTCTGCGGCCATTAGCCTTTGTCTAGCATCACGCTCCTGAGTCTGGGTCTGAATAGCACAAGAACCGAGATCATTTCGCGGTTATACTAATGGCCGGAGGCCAGAGACACTTTCCTAAAGTGAACGTGAGATCGTTCAGCAACCATAAGACCACGTACGTTTAAAAGCTTCCAGCTGTCCAACGTTTTAGAGTACATTATTTGCCACGCGCAACGTTTCAGTATGCGAATGGTTGCCGATGTTGCGGTTGATTCCCTAAGTTTTTTTTGCCGGAACGACCTCGACAACGTCCATGCGTCCTGCCGATTTTTCCGTGACATCGTCGCCACCAAATCGTCGCATAAATGTTTGCGGCTGGTGGAATCGGCTTCGCTCGGATGCTCCTCTCCGGATACCGGCGTGTACGGTGCACACATTGATATGCCGAACGGGAACAACTTTGTCCACGAAGGGTCTTTGGCCGAACTTATCGAATGGTTCACTCGTCATCTTACCAGCTCCTACGTGTACACATTATCATTCCAGTACCTAAGCTCGGCGGATCTTGCAGCATTGCCACTGGTCGGATTCTCAACGGTCCACGCGGATACGATTGCACTGGGAATCTGCGACTTGCTGGATATCGCGGACGACGATTTCACAAATTTTTTGTTGTGGTAAGTATGCATTGCGGCTTAAAGCCACCGAACAATGCTTGGTCTATGGCACCCTTATTGTCATGCCTTCGCGGAGCGTGGGATGATAGGGTCCGCAATGCCCAACACTGTTATTGGACGCAGGCGAATTCATATTTTGGCCGAAATTCTACAGAACTGATTAAAATTTGGTCGTGGCTGCGCCTGCGGGATCAAAGATAAAAGGCTCAAAAATTTTAAGATAATTTGCTGTGACGGGAACTTCACTTCAATAGGGTTAGCTTCAGTACAAGCATCCCGTTCCCCGAATGAAGTGCAGCGAAAATCAACTATGAACGATTTCAACTGACTAAACTTCACTGAAACTAGCAATTCAGCACAACACCATGCCCAAATCGTTTCCCCGGCACCAATGCATGACCTCAGAATGGCGTTTCTCTAATGCGGAAGACGTATTTGCTTTAGTTTTCCTCCGTTCATTCAACTTGACGTTTATGCCAACAAGCTGCGAAGCACTCTAATTTGCGACAACTTCCTTCGAAAGTGTCGACACCATGGAGTTAGCCAGTTCTACATAGTTCTGCTAGAACCACCAGTCGGTGGCTATTTTCACGTCTCTATCGACGAAGTGCTCAACTTTTGCGGAGCTCCACTCGACGACACTCGGGAGGCCGGTCGAATTTTCCACGTTGACTATGTCGCGGATGCCAGTCAGATTGCGGACGCGGTGATCAAAGTGAGTCTTGCGAATTCTTCCTTCAAATTTGCAACGTGTCTGTCGTATCCTAGCACCCTAGGTAGACGAGAGAACACGGGAGAGAGTAGAGAGTTTATTTGAGACTTGCTAGGTCTGTGCAGAACACAAGAAATCACGGTTATTTATACACTAAGCACTAGGGAGATTTGCATATGACTTGGCACACTGGGACGGATACCACAGTGTCGAAACCTTTAAGAACGTCAAGAGTCTGTGTCGCTCTGGCTTGGATGTTGCGTTGTTTCCTTCTGATCTCACTGAGCTGCCGCCGACTCTTCAACTTGGTCCAGATTTGACGCTTAGAGGGATCAGTGTCGAACTCGTCGAAGAACGAAAGAAGAGCCCTGGCTGTGGACAGCTGTACTGGGAAGAGAGTAAAATGATGCGTTCTATCAAGATCACGGTTGTCCCTGAATAAAATGATTGCTTCCTGGTTTTAATCCAGACGGGCTGGCGAACAGCGAAACTTCTATGTTCATAGGCCGATCCGATAACGTACATATTTCTGTTGCAAGTCGGAGAGGTCAATTACGTGAATCATGCCACAATTCCCACATTTCGATGGGCCCTGTTGGCGCCTACTTCCTGTTTGAAGTTGTGTATCGGACCCCAGTGAGTCGCATTCGCCTCTGTTTGGTGATGACTGTGTATGAATTTTGATTCTTGTCTGACACCTATTCCAGAATTCGTGAACGGATTAAGGAACGTATTAGCGGCGCAGGACTTGTCCTCTTATCAAGTTAAGCAATGCATGCAAATGGGTAATGGGTCCACTTTAAGTGAAGAAGATTCATCACATGCCGGATTCGAACCGGTGACTCTAAGTTCCCGGTTGAGTGCTCTGCCGCTGAGCCACGGTCACACGCCAAGGACTACGTCAGGAGACGGCCATAAAGGGCAATCGACCGAGGAGCACTCGCACATCAAGATTGCTTAGAAGCGTTCTGTACTCTATCCTTTATCTTACGATTTTGCATCTCTACTAAACACCAGACGAACAAAAATTAAACGAACTTTGAAGTAAGCTACGTCAGTTGATACGTAGTCGCGCTCATAATTTATTCATTCGCAATCTGGTTGATGCATTATTCGAACAATCTAGCCAACAGCATTCTGTAAGATACAACAATAACAGTTGAGGTCCGTCAGAGTCTCATTCGAAAGGGTTCTGAAAGTTGAATGCGTACTCGCGACATATTTAAAAGCAGCAAAGCGCACCCCTTGATTTTAAGGGCGGTAAACCAAGCAGTCTTTTTTCGACTCGATCGCGCTTACCTTGGACCACTTCAGCTCCCCGTCAAGCTTCTTGCGGAAAGCCTCAAAGGCTTCTCCGATGAGGTAGCAGCCCCAGGTGTTCTGCCGATCTTCTTCCCAGGTCCTTATTTTGCCATTAGGTTTCTCGTTTCGCTCGTTTGTTAGGCCGTCTTGCGACCTGGCTTTACCTGCATCGAAGACTAATAGCACTGATAGTTGGCGAATTACATACCAAGGGCCTGGATCAGAACGGCCTCCCTGCTCTCTGCAAGCGGCTCCGGCGCATTCTCACAGAAGGTCAGAGAGACTACTCCTAGCTTCGCTTTCCACAGGGCCATTATGGTTCTCTGTTTTCTGTTGAACTAAATACGAGAGAAGTTCTAAACGACTGCTTTAAGGAGAACAAGAAGCACTTCTCAAACACGCTAAGGGCCAAGCCACTCTCCAAAAGTCGTCTTTACCTCCGTTCCCCCGGCAATGATCCTAGCCTTTGCGTCGGTGAAGTGGCTCTCCGGTCGATTGCTTCCTACGCCCTTTCCGACATAAAATATAGCATGGATGAACTGCTCCAGACTGCATTTTTTTGCAATTTCGCAAAATTGCGCCCACGTGACGTCCGTACGTCCGCCGCAAAGAATGTGCGGCTTGAGAAGAAAGTAGTTGAGGTACTTCGCCTCCGAAGTGAAGCGTGGTTTATTATACTCGCGTTACGCCCATCCGTCATCCTGTTGCCCCATTGTAGCGACGACGTGTTTCCCGCGGGTAATGCGCTGCGCGACCAAGCTAGCGTATATGAAGTCGCGGACCGTCTTGACGTACTTGACATTCGGCATCATGTATTCTGAATGGAACTCCTTTGCTTACTACCAGCGATCCTGTCAGTTTTTGCTTAAAAATCTCTGCGTCAATGGTAAAGAAAACACAGTGACATGCCTTAATGTGCAAACATGTCCAAAATAAGTGTTTCTTACCACTTTGATTGAAGGTACTTAGGGCTTGGTCTAGGCTCTTTTTATGATCAACTTCGTGCATGTTTGAGGTATAGCGGCCAATGTGTACGTAGACTGTGGGGTCCTTAAGAACAACGTTACTTGATACCACACCTGATTGTTCTGACCGTATAATCGACGTTAGACTGCAGGGACACTCCATATTCAATTCTTCGCTTGAATTCTAAAACGGTTTTTGCCGGGACCATGATTGTGGAACTAACCGAGGGCTTTTTCCGCGGCTTCGGTACGCTTGTGTATGCCTTCTCCGCTATCCTTAAACTTATACGTCCTGTATTTTGTCGTTTTGTATGGTCCTACCGTCATGGTCATCCGGAGCTTTTTGGCTGGTGGCCCGGACATCATTTAGTGTGCGTCTCGTTCTAAAACATCATACACTCATAGTAGTAATTGTTTGCGGAATACGGTGATCAAGCCGTGCTTTCACCGAAATTAAGCCCTTAGAATCATCTCGCAGTCGACGTGCACAACGACAATGACTACCGTACTTCCCCCCCCCCCTCGTCGTTTGAATCCGACGAGAGCACTGACTCCCAAGCGGGTTTGGTATCCGTCACAAGCGAGCCACTACCCTACGTTAGCCCAACGTCGCCAGGAACAAGGTTTTTTTCTGCAGATGAGACGCTTGAGCGTACTGAGCTTCGTCATGTTGTAGCATGGTGCTGTCGACCAAGCGCTGGAGTGCATCAGGGCTGGACCGTCCGACGCGTACAGCTTACTTCTTGCTGCATCACCTAGTAATCCTTGTTAACGTGACCTACTGGCGCATCTTAGCTTTCTAGCTTGCCCACCAGTGCCACTGCTTAAGTGACCTTGGCTGTCTTTTATTAGGAACCTCGATTCAAAACCGGAAATCGTCAACAAGCGCAAGTCCGCCGACACTTCGTGTTTAGGAGATGGTATGCAACGATTAATTCAACGAAGGCCTGCGTCGACGGACCGCATACTATGCGAGAGCAATACCAGTCCCGAAAGCATACACATCATTAGCGAATTAGGTACACATTAGATGAACTGTCAAAGGGGACGTGGTGAGAAACATAGGTATATGCGTAGGAAAGTCGGATTGAATAGAAATCTCGGGGAGAGTCGTAGGCAACGAGTGACACAAACGAATCGAATGACAAACTGCGAGATTAGGCACAAGATGGTCACGAGGTCGGTGGGTAGTTGGCAAAGTAAGAAGGTGCGGCAACGAAAAGACGCATTCGATGGCAGACTCCAGCTTAATTGTAAGCTCGCCGTAAGTGTGGCAAGAACTGTGATGATACTAAAATGGGGCACCCTTTTATGGCCCTTTCAACCGAAAATATGGCTTATGCTCAATTTGGCAAACACGGTCAACCACCGACGGTAGGAAAGCATTGAGCAAAATAATGGATTTCTACGGGCCGTTAGCGTTTTCGGAGAAAGCACTATGGGACCTAACAAGACAGGGACAACTAGTTCAGGAGCGATCTAGTCACTACTCGTGCCACTGCTGCCGTGTCCGCCCGAACCGCTCGGCACTTGAATGGAGCCGCTTGGGGAACCGCCTGGCCGGCCGTTGGCGTTCTTGACCATCGAGTAGAAGATGGACTTCTTGTTCGCGAGCAAGTTGTCCGGCGTGTCGAACTCCTTTATCCGGCCGCTGTCCAGCACGATGATCCTGAAAGCAGGCGATTACGCTACGCTTGACCATCCGTCAACGCACCTGTTGTAGTCCAGTATAGTGTTCAGTCGATGCGCAATGGTGACCACGGTGGAGTCCTTGAACTCTTCGCGGATCGTCTTCTGGATGAGTACGTCGGTGTTCATGTCGACGGCGGCCGTCGCTTCGTCCAGCACGAGCACTTTGCTCTTTCGCAGCAGTGCGCGAGCTAAGCAGACGAGCTGACGCTGGCCGACGCTAGAGATGACGAGGTTAGCTACTGCCACCGGGACCACCAGGTTCTGTACCTGATATTGTCGCCGCCCTCGGTGATCTCGTGGTTCAGCTTCTGGGGCTGGTTACTGGCAAACTCCTCCAGGTTCGCGTACTTCAACGCTCGCCAGATCTCGTCGTCCGTGTGCCGGCCGAACGGGTCGAGGTTAAACCGCAGCGTTCCCGAGAAGAGAACCGGATCCTGCGGGATGATTGTGATGTTGGAACGCAGATCGTGGAGGCCCAGCGCGCAGATGTCCACGTCGTCGATGATGATGCGGCCCTGCGTCGGTTCGATCATCCGGAAGAGAGCGAGCGTCACCGAGCTCTTGCCTAAGCACGCATTAGGATCGTCCGTTCACCCGCCTGTACCTACCTGCGCCCGTCCGCCCCACGATTCCAATGCGCTCATGAGCGTGGATATCAGCACTCAGTCCCTTGACGACCAGCTCCAACCCAGGCCGATACCGCGTGGAGTAGTTCTGGATGCGAATGCGTCCTTCGGACGGCCAGTCCTTAGGCGGTTCGTTGCCGGGCTCGCTCTTCCATTCGGCCTCAGGCGTCGTTTCCGAGTACTCCTTGACGCGCTCCACCGAGACGATATTCGTCTCCAGCTTGCTGATCTGGCGAACCGCGAAGTTCAGCACGAAGGTGATCTAAAGCAGCGGTGTCACTCTTGAGCTTGCTGCAGCAGCGTTTCATACGTTGAGCGAGTATGAGACCGACAAGCCGAGCACGCCAGCGGTGGTGTTCTCGCGAGTAAGTGCGGCGAAGAGAGCCGCGAAGAGGACCACGCAATTGCCGATGAACTCCAAGCGCACCGAGAGCCAGCGGTTAGCGACGTAGTTCAGGTAGCGGCACTAAAATCTCCCGTTCGTTAAGGGGGATCCTCCGTTGAAGGTGTACCTGGACGTGAGCGTCCACCTTGTGCTCCGAGATTCGTTGGAACTTCGGCACCAGGTTGTACGCACGGATAGTGGCAGCACCCTAAAACTAGGAGCTACACGATGATGCACACTTCAAGGACCTCACATGAATGGACTCGCTAAGATGAGAGTAAATGGGTGACCGCGTAATCGACTCCAAGCGCTTCAGCTGCCTCGAGGTCGCAATGTAGTACCGCTGAAAGCGCAAGTTACAGACGTCCATGTCGCACATGTTTGTTACCAAAACAATGAGGTAGGTGATTGCCAGCGGGAGTACCACGATCGAGAAGATCGGCGTGGAGATGATGATGATGATCAGCGTTGACAGCACTTGGAGGATGCACTGCGCGAAAAACTGGACGTTGTACGGAAGGAGGAAGTCGATCGTCTCGATGTCCTTGCCGATGCGGTTCAAAATGCGGCCGAATGGAGTGGTGTCGAAGAAGCGCATTGGCGCGCGAAAAATCGCATGGAGCAACGGTGCGTGGAGGTTGCGACTCGCAGAGACGCCACCGAAAAGAAGCGATGACATTCCGAAGAACATGAGGATGACTAAAACGTCCGACATTATTTTTGGCAGTTATTTGGCACGAAGCTTTGTACCTTCAAAGAAGCCCACTGCTGCGTAAACACCTAGACGGAGCTCTACTGGCATCGAAACTCTTGAAGTGTTCTTCCGAGCAGCGTTGTCGTTGGACCTACAAACGTCGACAAACAGCGTACACGATTGTATTAGCGGCGACTAACCAGCTAGTAAGCCACAAGTTCC